CGACGACTGAAAGGGTCTATTGCTCAACTGTTCCGTGCCCTGCCGTGCCGTGCCCTGCCTGCCCTGCCGTGCCCTGCCGTGCCCTGCCGTGCCCTGCCGCTGCCCTGCCCTGCCGTGGCGTGCCGTGGTGTGCCCAGTGTGGCGGTCGGCCGGTCGCCGCCGCACCGCCGCCCGGGCATGGCGGCCCTGCGTATAGCGATCCCACACGTCGCTTCCGTCGCTGTCTCTGTCGCACTCATGGGGTGCTAAGTGCGAGAGAGACAGTGATGAGGCACTGTGCGGCTGGGCCGGGACGCAGAGGTGCACGTCGAACGCGGACGTGCGTTTTCGCGCGGGGGCCCCTCGCACTAGGCCGCGTCGACGGGCAGGGTGTTGGTGGCCACATCGGAAGGACACCTCGCGCACACGGCGTCCAAACTCAAGCGTCACAGTCACGGGAAACGTGGCCAACCTCCTTGCCCTGGCGGCAAATGGGGCGTCCGTCGCGCGTCCACTGCACGCGTCAGTCGTGTCTTTCTGCGGGGCTCCTTGCCGACGCGCCGCACCGCGTCGAGGTGGACGGCGCGGAGGGCGGCCGTCTGCTCGGAGTGAGCGATCAGCGGGCTGGGCCGGGGTCGGGTTGGTCGGGTGCGTCGCCGGCGCCTTCCGGTGATGTCGCAGCAGTAGCCTCCACTTGGCGGACGCGCTTCACGGGCGGGGCCGGCGGGGCATCCTTCGAGCTCGCTGGCGAGGCCCACTAGGTCGTCAACGCCGTCGTGAGGGGGGGGGGGGACATGAGCAGCGGCCGCCGGGTCGCCGGGTCCGCGAGCCTAGAAGTTGTCGAGGACCAGCTTGTCCAGCACGCTTGGTGAACGGCCAACGATGGGGTCGTCCCGGCATGCGTCGCGGCACAGCAGATCGATTTGCACCGCGAACTCCCGGAGGCTCTGGTTGGGCTGCTGGCGTGCCGCCTTCGGCCGCGCGGCGATGTTGCGTGGACGCGGCCTCCGGAGCCTTGTCCAGCTCGTTGAAGCTTGTCAGCCGGGCCGTGGCTCGTCGGCTCGCGCACTCGGACACGGGGCGGCTGGCGGCCAGGGCCTTGGCCAGGCCTGAAACTGCGCCCGGTAGAAGCTGTAGTCCGTCTTGCCGTCGTAGGTCGGGAACGTCGCCAGGCTGAGGCCGGCGTCAGCATCGGTTGCTGGTGTCGACGGCGATGTCGGTCTGGCTGCCGGTCGTCTGCAACGGGGCTTGCCTCCGGCGCGGCACAGTGGGCCAGAAGACCGGCGCAGGCGGCCAAAACTCCAGACGCGTTTTGAGCTCCAGAGTCGCTAAATGGGACTCGAACCGAACGTGTGACCCCACCAATGTATTCTCGTTCGGAGAGCAATCGACTGGTGGGGTCACACGCTCGGTTCGAGTCCCATTTAGCGACTCTGGAGCTCTGCACGCGTCTAGAGTTTTGGCCGCCTGCGCCGGTCTTCTGGCCCACTGTGCGCGGCCAGGCGGCGGCCAGGCTCGTTGGCCGCGAGGAGGACGCCACCATGTTCTCGGCCTCGTGGAGCAAAGCGGGCGAACCGGTCTGTACGGGGCTATCCGCCGGAGCACTGGTGCAGCACCTCGGTGAGTGCCTCGGTCGCAGGGCGCGAACAGGCCGCAGCGGCACGCAGTGCTGGTCGGCGTGCAGCACGGCCTCGCGGGGACGCGCTAGTGCCGGTGGCTGCCGGGCTCGTCGACCCGACGGCTGCCGACGGCATGGTTGGCCGAGTCGGGGCTAGAGCCCCGCAACGGGCGGGTTGATAGCCGATTTCCAACCCGGTTCGCAGCGCTCCTCGAACCCGCCCGACTCGACTCGGTCCCGTTTCAACCCGCCCAGTTCAACCCGCTTCAAAAGCAAGCGGGTTGAGCCGAACTCGGTTGAGCCCGGTCCAACCCGGTTCCGAAGCGCGACTCGGCTGGACTCAGCACCACGCCGCTGGGTGCCGGCGACGTCTGGCTTTGTCTCCGACGCGCCGCGCAGCCAATAGGAAGCGCGGTTTTGGCTACCAGCCGTCCGGGCTAGCTTCACCTGTCCCAGCCGGACGGACGCCTGCCCCTGAACCGGTTGCACCCCCTGAGTTTCACCCGTCCTGGTGTCTGACACCCTCGGCGGATAGGGCTGCCGATGGCTAACACTACACAGTTACCCACCGGTGGGCTGTTCTGTTGGAGGGTCACAGCGCGCAGGGTCGAGTATCCGAAGGGGATCGGATGCTGCGGGCGTTCAGTCCCGGTCCGCCGGCGACGGGGTCGCTCTAAGTAAGGACGCCCTGGTTTGCGCTCAGCAAGATTGGCGCGGCCAGGACGGGCCCGAAATGGTTAACGATCATTCCTGGTCCAGCCTATCAAGTTCAAGTCAACGTTCGGCACCTTCGGCTCTCGGCTGCTGCAGTTGTAGCTGCAGGGGCAGCAGATGCCTGGCCCAGCGCTACCTACCCACACTCACTCCACTTTTCTGAACCGGGTTGGCGAACGCGCCCGTTGCGGGGCTCTAGTCGGGGCGCCTCTAGGGCAGCCACAGGGGGCTCGCTCAGGGCACGGAACTACGCCGGTCGGGCAACGGGGAGTCTTCGTTCGCGTCGGCCACCGCAGGGAGGGCAGGGCAGGAACGCTACGCCGGGCGACTCGGTGCAGTCGTGCTAGGCTCGCGAAGGGCTCGGGGGCGTGACGTGACCCCGCGAACCATTCGGTGACCGTCGCTCCGCTGTGTGGCTGGCTGGGCCACCTCTCTCCCCCCAATCCCACCGCTGCCACCAGTGTGTCTTTAGGTGGTGGTGACGGTTAGAGGGGTTAGCTGCTTTGAGTGGAACCGCGGTTGTCTCTAGCGCCGTGGTCTCTAGCGAGGCCGGCCCTGGCGGCGTCCGAATCTCTGGATTTCTCCAGAGCATGGATGCCGGGCTGGGTGGCTGGCCGAGAGCGTCGCTCTCTCTCCCACACTCGTTGTCAGCCAGGTAATTCCACGCCAGACCATCGCACCCCCCGAAATCGACGGTGATGGAATTGGCTATAGTAGGTGCCAATCCACTGTCAGTCGCCCTGCGAATTTTGTTTTTTGCCCAACTTTGAAATTTTGGTCAAAGTTGAATGTTGCAATTTTTGGCCACTGGGCATTTGTGCTCAGATAGTGACCAGCCAGGTTTCATTGTCTTCACATAAAACTACTCTATCCATAAATAGAAATTTTGTTTGAAAAAGTTAAAAAATGTCAAGAAAACGATGAAAATTTCACATGCATGGATCCATCAAAACAAGCGTGTCCTTCGTTTTTTGACGATACTTGTTTCAAAAGTCACTTATCCTAAGTTAAACAAGCCCACAAATTTCAACTCTGGCCCGGCTTTCTAATTATGGTTCTGCCTACATTTTATACTTTTGGGGCTAAATTTGGTATCGAAACTGAAACGGCCTGAACCAAGAGTGCCCGTTTGCACTTTTAAGATCACTTCTGAGCTTGGGGTTTACCCCGAATTATCAATTCAAATCAGACATTCCAGGTCTAGAGATATATTTTTGTGTTATATCCTCGACATTGAGATTTTGGGTCAACGAGTAAAATTCAGTTTGCGCAGACAATTTTCACCATATGAAAGTAACCTTTTCAGACAGAGTATTCCCCTTGCTTCATTTTACTAACCTGATGATAAATTAAACACATTAGTCGATTGATTCCATTGGTCCTTTATCAGGAAACTCCCTGACTGATATTGAAACTCACATAACATGGCCCACACCACAATAAACAAGAAAATTCTAACATTTCAGACAAAAGTTGTCCTGATCACTGCACTTCAGTTTTCGAATCGTCCGCTTGCGCTGCGCCAATCCCAGGTGTGAGAAATTGATAAAGCTGCACAGTAAGTTTCTCATACCTGAGATCAGCGCAGCGCAAGCAGACGATACACGAAAGTGCAGTGCAGTGCCGTGCAGTGACCAGGACAACTTTTGTCTGAAATGTTAGAATTTTCTTGTTTATTGTGGTGTGGGCCATGTTATGTGAGTTTCAATATCAGTCAGGGAGTTTCTCCTGACAAAGGACCGATGGAATCAATCGACTAATGTGTTAAATTTATCACCAGGTTAGTAGAATGAAGCAAGGGGAATACTCTGTCTGAAAAGGTTACTTTCATATGGTGAAAATTGTCTGCGCTAACTGAATTTTACTCGTTGACCCAAAATCTCAATGTCGAGGATATAACATAAAAATATATCTCTGGACCTGGAATGTCTGATTTGAATTGATAATTGGGGGTTAACCCCAAGCTCAGAAGTGATCTTAAAAGTGCAAACGGGCACTCTTGGTTCAAGCTGTTTCAGTTTCGATACCAAATTTAGCCCCAAAAGTATAAAATGTAGACAGATTCATAATTAGGAAGCCGGGCCAGAGTTGAAATTTTGTAGGCTTGTTCAACTTAGGATAAGTGACTTTTGAAACAAGTATCGTCAAAAAACGAAGGACACGCTTGTTTTGACGGATCCATGCATGTGAAATTTTCATCGTTTTCTTGACATTTTTAAACTTTTTCAAACAAAATTTCTATTTGTGGATAGAGTAGTTTTTTTTTGAAGACAATGAAACCTGGTTGGTCACTATCTGAGCACAAATGCCCAGTGGCCAAAAATTGCGACATTCAAATTTGCCAGGACTTTTAGGACGCCTGCGCTATGCATGTTGCAGCTTGCGCAGGTCGAGCGATGTCTAGGATGCCATATTTACCAGTTATTAAACATTAACTCGATTCGAGCCCTCACTGGCTTTGCTTTTCCGTCGTGTATAAAGCCCAATTGTCCTCGCCACTGTGCTAAACGTTTCCTTTTCTTGTTGCAGGTCGGTCTGTACACGAGTCTTTCGTGCGGCGCCAGCAGTTCGCCTTCGACCGTTTCCCTGGCATCCAGGTCGTGGAGATGGGGGCCTCTCACAGAGGTAAGCAGTGTCTTGATTCTTTCATTCTTTGACCCCGTCACGCGACTGTTCCTTGCTTACGCTGAGCTTTCTGTTTCAGGAATGTATGAGCTCATCGCCACCTGTGAGGTGGACGTGACAGGTGCTGAAGGGGAGTGGCTGCCCACGGCGAATCTCCCTGGCTATGCGCCAGCGCCAGCGAAGATACGGTGCGAGTTCTGCGCCGCCCCGCTAAACACGTTCCGCCAAAGGTCCTTCCACATCCGGCGGTCGTGCCCACAGTTTGATCACAATAAGTAAGTTGCCCGTCTGCCTCCATTTAATAATTTGGTTTGCTTTGCACTAAAAATATCTTCTGTTTCAGTCCTTTACATGTTGCTCAATACAACAATTTTTCGAGATATCTTCGGGCGTACTGCGGAACCAACTTGAGCGACCTTCCACTCCCGGGGGAGGCACCCCCCAACCTGGAGGAGGCGCTGCAGTCCGCCATTGACAACCACGTCAAGCGGGGTCAGCTAGCCATGGCGGCGGCTGCCCCCGGCCATGAGAATTTGGTTCTGTGAGTCTCCGTGAGCTTAGCCCCGGCCTTGCCCCATGTTTCCAAGTGACTTGTCTCAACTGTCCGTTCTGCTTGCAGGGCCGACCTGGAGGCCAATGTGCATGAGACAAGCGCTGCCGTCATACAGGCGATGCGCAGGTGTGTCATCGCTGCGCGGGACGCGAACGAAGTGTGAGTATATCCGGTGAAGGATGAGTGAAGCGGTCGGCCGGTCGGCGCCCCAAGAAAGCGTATTTTGACTTTCCTTTCTTCTTCCAGCGCCATGTACAGAGAAATGAAAGAGGTTACGCGACTGAGATGGGATTTCGGATATGCTGCTGAGGACCTATTCAACGAGGCGAAACGGTAAGCTGGGTAGTGATCGTGTGCTAGCTAAGTCTTTCTCAACGTGGTGTGCTTAATTGCGTTTCCTCCACAGGCTAATCAACATGGACGTTCAGGGCGATGATGATGACGATGATGATGATGATGACGGATGATGATGACGATGGTGGTGAGGACTCTGGTGATGGCGGCCGGACCACCACCGACACCACCACCACCACTGCTACCACCACTACAACCACCACCACCACCGCCAGCCCAGGGCCTTCGACCAGCCGTGGCTCGGGTGCCTTCGGACCCTCTCCGCCCAGGCCTTCGACCAGCCGTGCCTCGGGGGGTGCCTTCGGACCCTCTCCGCCCAGGCCTTCGACCAGCCGTGCCTCGGGGGGTGCCTTCGGACCCTCTCCGCCCAGGCCTTCCACCAGCCGTGCCTCGGGGGGTGCCTTCGGTACTACCTCTCCGCCCAGGCCTTCCACCAGCCGTGCCTCGGGGGGTGCCTTCGGTACTACCTCTCCGCCCAGACCTTCCACCAGCCGTGCCTCGGGGGGTGCCTTCGGTATCTCTCCGCCCAGACCTTCCACCAGCCGTGCCTCGGGGGGTGCCTTCGGTATCTCTCCGCCCAGGCCTTCGACGAGCCGTGCCCCCTGGGGATTTTTTTCGCGCCGGTCCGGCTCAAACGTCACCGACTTGTCGTCTAAGAGCCTGGATTTCACGTGCATGGAGTAAGTTAGTCGTTTCAGTTGTCACTGCATGGTCTCTAAGTACTCCCTGGTATTTATGTATTTTTCTTGTTTTTGCTTTAGTTTGTCACCCGTCAAGACGACGACTAGCACCGCGACGACTACCACCGCGTCGACTAGGCCTTCGCCTCCACCCAGACCTTCGACCAGCCGTGCCTCGGGGGGTGCCTTCGGTATCTCTCCGTCCAGGCCTTCGACGAGCCGTGCCCCCTGGGGATTATTTTCGCGCCGGTCCGGCTCAAACGTCACCGACTTGTCGTCTAAGAGCCTGGATTTCACGTGCATGGAGTAAGTTAGTCGTTTTAGTTGTCACTGCATGGTCTCTAAGTACTCCCTGGTATTTATGTTTTTTTCTTGTTTTAGCTTTAGTTTGTCACCCAAGACGACGTCTAGCACCGCGAAGTCTAGCACCGCGAAGTCTAGCACCGCGAAGCCTAGCACCGCGAAGTCTAGCACCGCGACGTCTAGCACCGCTGGCACCGCGACTACTGGCATCCTGACTAGCACCCCGATCCGGACCACAACATCCACTACAACCACCCAGCCTACCCGCACTACGACGACCAGTGCCACTAATAGTGACCACTGCATGGGGTGAGTTGTTTCAGTTGTCACTGCGTGGTCTCTACACTGTACAAAAAATGTTGTTGTAATCTTAGAACATTTTTGTCGGAAAGTTTGATAGCAACACATCTTGTATTAGAAACACGTTGTAGCCCCCAGTGCTGTTTTCTGATAAATCGATTCTAGTACGACAAGATTTCTGTCAAGTCTTCCATTTGGTTTTACCAATTTTTTGTTGGTCACATTTTGTTGTAGTTTAACAAGATTATTGTTAATCTGGCAAGATAGTTGTAACACAACAAAAGAGTTGTCTATTGACCTGTTCAGACACCAAATAACATCCGTTGTAATTTAACAACACTCCAGTAGGTGACTGTTGTAATAATACAGTAGATTTTTAACAGTGTACTGTGTGGTATTTATTTCCTTCTTGTTTTTGTTTCAGTTCACCACCTAAGGCTTCGGGTAAGCGGCGGCGGGACGACGACGACGACGACGATGAGGAGGAGCAGCCGCGCGCGCCAACCCCAACCCTTCCTCCGAAGCGGCGGCAGCGGCGCGATAGCGAGGATGATCCGCCCGCTCGCCCTCCCCTTCGCCGGTCGGTCCGCGTGACAAGGCAGCCGCAGCGGTACGGCGTTGCCGCCCAGTAACACCACCACCACCACCACCACCACCACCACCACCTCCACGCAAACTATGTATTTGAGAGGTATGTACATTGCTTCCCGTGTCGCAGTAATAAGGGCTTCTTCACACACTGTGGTCAAGCGTCGTAAAGCTTTAGCTATTACTCGCTGAACGTGTGAGGCTCAGTGACCAGTTTAGTTAGACGCCTAGGCCGAGGTCTAGAAGCCGTGTAGAGGCTCGACTCAGAGCTAAGCCGTGGCCATGTCCGATTGTTCCTTTCGCGGCCGGCATTGATGACGGTAATGACGGGGCTTCCTACCTCCATGGCTAGAGAGCCTGGAGTGCCCCCCTCCCCCTCGCGGCGATTCCCCTCCCCCTCCCCGGTCCGCAGACCGGGAGTTGCAATGTATTATCAGAAAGGTTATACATAGCCTTCGGTATTATTGACATCAAGTGAGATGATATGGTGATACCGCTTCTCAACCTCCAAGCCTCCAATTTGAGTCCCAACCTGATCCACCATTTCCTTTCTCAATCAACAATTCAAGCCAAGCTTGACCTTGCCCTGAGCTGTAGCGTAGCCTCTAGCAACGGTTTTCTTTATGTCTCATATTTTTTTTAGAATTTTGCTAAGGTAATTTAAAAAACAAAATTTCTTGTTTTGCAGGTTGCATGTTAGATGGGGTCACCTCTTGGAGGATACTTTGAGTAAACTAGTTGTGTGGTTCATGGAACGTGGAGTTTCAGAACAAAGATCAAGACTCCCATTAGTTAAAGGATTTTATGTTGTTATGTTAATTCTGTTCGTGTATCAGTTTTTGATGTTCGAACTTGAGCTGGTGCTCTGGCACAGCTAAACTAGATTTAGCTGATAATAAGAAATATTGAATGTATATCTGGTAAGCAGTCTTAAAATTTTTACTATTAAAGCTTGAGCATTAGTGGAACTTCCACCAAAGATTAGGCCTTTTTATTTGACTTGTCTAATAATTCTTTTGTTTTTCTTCTTTTGCAGGTTGTATATTGGATGCGATCACCTCCTGGAGGATTTTTATGTAACTAGTTGTGTGGTGGATGGAACATGGAGTTTCAGAACAAAGACTCGTATTAGTGCAAGGATTTTATGAAGTTGTTGATCCTATCCTTCTATCAGTATTTGATGCTCCACCTTGAGCTTGTGATCTGACACAGTTAAAATAAATTTAGCTGAGTTGGAGTAAAATCTTGAATATTGCTCTGGTAAGCAAAGTTAATTTTTTTATTTTTAAAGCCTACGCTGTAGAGTAGCTTCCACCAAAGTTAATTTTAAAATAAGCCTTACATTTCATTTCACTTGCGCAGTTCTTGATTTGTTTTTCTTGTTTTACAGGTTGCTTCTTAAACGCGACCATGTCTTGGAAGTTGCCTTCAGGAAAATGGAAGCTTGAAGGAAAGACTTTTCAGAAGTGTAAGCTTATCATAAGCTTTGATTGAAAGGAAGTTCTTGATTGTTATCACCTTTTAAAATTCTTTCTCTTGGTATTGAGGAAGCTCTTCAGAGAGCTTGAATTAGGAGGTTGTTTTATGACAGTGTAGCTAATATAAGGTAAGTTGGGTCAGATTTGAAGAAACTGTAACAAAATGTTTCAATTCTAAAAGTGGTTTAATAGAATGTCTTTCTTCTATAATTTTAGGGCCATATGCAGAGAGTTCTGAGGTTGATGGAACGTGTCGTTTTAGAACACTCAGACTTCTAATGCAGGATTTTATGAAGTTGTTGATCCTATCCTTGTATCAGTCTTTGATGCTCACACTTGAGCTTGTGATCTGACGTAGTTAAAATAGATTTAGCTGATTCGGGGAAGAATATTGAATATTGATTTGGTAAGCAATGTAAATTTTTTTTACTTTTGAAGCTTGAGCTGTAGTGTAGCTTCCACCAAAGTTAATTTTAATATTGGTCTTATGTTTTATTTGACTTTCGCAGTTTTTGATTTGTTTTTCTTGTTTTACAGGTTGCTTCTTAAACGCGACCACGTCTTGGAGGTTGTCTTGAGGAAAGCGTTAGCCTCAAGGAATGACCTTTCAGACTTGTGAACTTATCATAACCTTTGATTAAGAGGACCGTAATGATTTTGAAGGTCCATCCTAGGTGTTCGTTTTCCTGTTAACGCATGAGTAGAAGCAAGATAAAGAAAGCCACATGTTCTTTGAAGTAAAGATTAGGACATAAGGCTTTGCCATTTGAACCAAATGGCATACTCAGATCATAATGGTTAAATATGTAAGTGTGCTGTGCTCTATGTGCTTCTTGGGTTTTTTTTGCTTTGTTTCTCATTGTTCATCACATCCCCAGGTGCATTCATCGCATGAACTGTCATGCTTGTCAAGACAGATCAGAGACTTTGGCGAACTCTGTACTCCAGAGTTGGGTGTAGTGAAGTGAGAAGCAGTCATCCAAGAGTTGAGTCCTGGCTGCTTCAATCCAACCTGTGAAGAGAGTGGTGGATGCGTCTTGTTGACCAGCTTGTAAGCCATGTGCTTGACCCTCATTTGTTCTATTGTGAGTAAGAATATATCCCAGTACTGTAAATTCTGAGAGCGTGGCGGACAAGAGTTTCAAGTGTCCTTGCCAAAACTGCACATTTGTGCACTTGTTGACCAAGTTCTATATTATATGTTTATCTTCTGAATCAATTGCGTTATGAGCTTGCGCTTAGTTATTGTGTTTGGCAAGAGGTCCCTTCAATACTGGCTCTTGTTAATGATTGACAATGGCTTTTGAACTATTTTCCTAATTTCTGGAGCATTTGCTAACAATTGGATGTATTATACCTTGTAGGTAACTTGCCCAGAATTTCCTTTGGATCAGTCTTTACTTGAAAATTCCAAGTCAATTTTTGTTGCTTATTTGTTGTGTATTGTGAAGTGCACCACCATATTCAAACAGAGTCTCAAATTTATAGTTAATATTGACAGTTTGTCCTGTTGCCCTCTTGATCTGCTGATGTGTAGCAGAATGGCAGGTTCGTTTTGTCACAAGTTTTTCACTCATTGAGCATTAGAGTATGGAGAATTCACATTCCGTCCATTTTCCTTTCCCTCATTCGAAACCCTTAAGAGCAGTGCAGTATTCATATCTTGTTTCTTAGTGCCCATTCCAACAGTGTTCAAGCCTTTCTTCATTTCTCTCTTTCAAAGAAAAGCGCCTTGGTTGTTACAACCGTTCAAGTTAAGGATAGATGGAGATTTGTTGACTCGCTTGTCTTAAACTTAATGATAGTATCCGTGTGAAAGGGCGCCATTTCTCATGGATACTCTAAGCAAATTTTTTGGAAGAACATGAAGTTGTATTAAGAATGAATGAATGAATGAATGTATGTGCTAGTCTGGTGATAACATGTGTGAGAGGTGGTGGTGGTATTAGTCACACAGCTTGGGGCCCCCTGTGTTTAGATGGTGGGAGTTCATAGTATTTTGTGTGCTTCAATGTTCTTCCGAAAATTTGTATGTGAACAGCGAGTTGAAGCGGGAAGCAGGCAGGCGCGGATTTGGGGGAGGGGTAATGGGGGTAATCCCCCCTCGCTCATGTACCGGAAGGGAAGGGCCCGCAATCGCCGCAATCGCCTGGAAGGCATGTAACAGGCACTACTTTGCCCCTGTATGCAGGCAAGAAGCACTGCCTCACCCCCTCCTTGGGAAAACCCCGGATCCGCGCCTGAAGTTAGGAGATTGATTACCCAGATTATACAATTGCCAATTTGGGCAATCCATGTTGCAAGGATAGTATTTGAGCCCTCATCTATTGATTGGAGGGAAAATTCAGCAGAGTATAAGAGTGAAAGCACAGACTCTGTGTCTTCCTCTCAAGCCTGCATTGATCATGTCCCATAGAATCTCTCAACATGTGGCAAATGGATGCGGCGCGCTTACTGCATTCGTGTGTTCGTACCTGTGTTACTACAAGTAACATATTGAAGCCGATGCTTCATGAAGGCTCTTTTCTTTAGTAAAGCAGTTTTCGATTGTCCAGTTTACAATTCTTCCGTTTCCATAATATAGATTTTGACAATTGTCCATGGGCTGAACACCTCGTCCTCTTTCTAGCTCCGATAATCACTTTCTACCTGTCCAATGTCTCTCTCACTTTCAAGTCACTGCGTCACAAAACCTCATTGATTCACTCGCATTTGTCCCTTTTGCCTACGTCTTCATCCTTTTTGATGAGTGAGCGTAATTCATTGATTTTCTTAATATTTGGCCTGCCAATGTGACAATAGCAACAAGCCCCCTATGAATTTCGACTCTGTTTGTTTATGACACGTCTTAGCTTCCAATGGCTCTAAAGTGCACTGTTTAAATTTTAGTTGGCTGCTTCAGAGAGGGCACAGATATGCTTAGTTTTCTCGTAATTATATGTGCCTCTGGATTTCAAGTGTAAATTCTGATCTGGAAGATATAAACGGGCAAGCATTGAATACTATACAATACAATGTAATAATGTTGTAAAAGCCAGTTACATGAGCCTTTGTTGATGCCTTTCTTCCATTCACTTTGATGCTAGTGTTTGTCAACTGCTCATGCTTGTTGATAGGCAGTTTCATTTTATTTTGAAATGTTATGTGCGCAAGTCAGACAGGAATGTTTTGGTGTATGATTAGCCGTTACTTTTCACATGTTACTTATTATTCAATTATTTATGATGCTGTGATGTTTTTGGATCTGGAGTTCTGATGTGAAGTTTCATTCAATTGGGAACTATGTTTGTGGCAGAAGTGTGTCTTACGTATATCACTACTTCAATTGTTTCTTTAATTTGGGTTTCACTGTTTGTATTTTATGCTCCATTACATCAGTGAGTAGAAGTTTGTTATCATCCTTACCAATTTGCATGTTTATTGTTTTTGTTGTTAATTGTTAGCTTCTCTTGTTTGTGTTGTAAGTTCTGTATCATCTGAGATAGGATTTGTTTGTAGATATAATAATAGGCAACATTAAGTATATGTATTTTTGTTACAATGCAATAGCATATTTTTAAAGATTATATGGTGTATAATTGATAAAGAACAGAAAGAAAGAAATATTGTTACAAAATAATGTTAAAGTAACATAAAAAATTGTAAAAAAAAAAAGAAGGTAAAAATAAAGTGTTAAAAAAGATTTAAAAAAAAGATACATAAGTTAAAAAAAAAAGTTTTAAGAGTTGAAAAAAGGAAAAAAGTATAATGAATCAAAAGTAAAACAAAAGAAACAAATGTTAAAAAAATATTTTTTTAAAATGGCGGAATTAAAAAGAAAGTGAAATGTTAATTTTTGAATTGCAACTTGAACACAGCTTGACGCAGAACACTCGTTAATTGGTAAGCAGTAATTTTGTGTTCCATCAGCTATCCTTTTTTTAATTCTCGTGTGGTAGGAACTGACTTCCATTTTGTTTGTTTCCCTTTAGTTAATCACTTCGTGAGAGTTAGTTCAATTACATTTGTGTCTCTCCAGTGGTATGAAACTCAAATGGAAAGAAGCTGAAGCTTTGCAGTTGCTGTTATCGCCTATGAGGTAATTGGTTATATTCTTTTCAATTCAATTTGGCTCATTATTCCATTGATCCCTTCCTTATACCTCACGTATATTTGTTTTAGATGCCAAAACCCGTGAGTCCCAGGTCTTAACAACCTGGTCAGGTCACTATGGTATTTTGGAGCCATGTGGAAGGTGGTGACTGGGCTGCCTTATGGAGGGACCTTGAAAAGTCGACATCAGAAGAGTTGTTGTTGATGATGAAGGTAGTGAGAAGTATCGAAGACCAGCTGTTGTTGGCGTTGAACCTCTTGATGTCTGAAGAAATCCTACCTGTAATATGCTGTGAGTTAGCACTTCAAATCCTTTGATATTTAAGGCTCACACTTATTTGTAAATACTGTTTATTTCATAGGTATTTCTTGTGCTTTTCAGAGAGACAATATGGAGCCAGCTTTTGCTTCGTAATGAACCATTTGAGAGGCTGCTCTGTTTGCTAATGAGTTCGTTTACATTCCTGGTTGGGTAACTTTCAATTCAAATTGCATTGAAATGCCAGCCCTTTTTTTAGAAGTCTGTGGAAGGTCTGATTATGACATGGAAGACCCTCTGAGTTCAAGATGTTGCTGACACCTCATGGTGTGCTTGGTAATAATTTTTTTTTCCTTTTGCCAGTTAATTTACAATTAATATAACTTGTGTATTAATTTTTGTCTAGTGCTAAAATTTTAACCATGGTTTTCATTTTCTTCCAGGGGATTTATCTAAATATCGAGCTTCAATACTGAGAAAACCAGTATTTGGATTTGATATCTATAGAAGCTAGATCAATGAAGTGGTGATGATTTTTGAAACTGTGACAACATATTTTCTCGTTTGTGGCACAACCTCTCATCATTTTGTGAGTGATTTATTTGTGCTCATACCGTGGTATGAAGCTGAAATCGAAAGCGGCTGAAGTTTCTGTTGCTGATCCTCAAGAAGGTAATTGGATTCATTCTTTTGTGCTTCCTTTGGCCTATTTTTCAATTGTTTCCCGTTTTGTACCTCGCATATTTGTTTTTTCAGGTGCCAAAGCTCATTGAGTTCTACAAGACGTCCGGCTCAGCTATGACAGACGTGGAAGAAACGCAATGAAGCTCACCAAGTTGAAGGACTAAGCTACGTAGCACATGATCCTACCCAGCTTACCGTATCGCCTCGTTGAAGAGGTTCGCAGCGGCATGTCCGAAGTCCCATCGGAGTCTCGTGGCCTCATGTATTTCCCTGTACATGCCGCTGGAAGAAGAAAGGACTCATCCTTCACCGGATATACTCACTCTTCGTTCGCGTCCCGCGCAGCGATGACACACCTGCGCATCGCCTGTATGATGGCAGCGCTTGCATCATGCACATTGGCTTCCAGGTCGGCCCTGCAAGCAGAACGGACAGTGGGCCGGGGGCAGCCGCCGCCATGGCTAGCTGACCCCGCTTGACGTGGTTGTCAATGGCCGACTGCAGCGCCTCCTCCAGGTTGGGGGGTGCCTCCCCCGGGAGTGGAAGGTCGCTCAAGTTGGTTCCGCAGTACGCCCGAAGATACCTCGAAAAGTTGTTGTATTGAGCAACATGTAAGGAACGCATTGTGATCGAATTGTGGGCACGACCGCCGGATGTGGAAGGACCTGTGGCGGAACGTGTTCAAGGGCTCAGCGCAGAACTCGCACCGCATCTTCCCTGGTGTTGGCGCATAGCCAGGGAGATTCGCCGTGGGCATCCATTCGCCTTCAGCACCGGAGACGTCCACCTCACAGGTGGCGATGAGCTCGTACACCTCTGTGAGAGACCCCCATCTCCACAACCTGGATGCCAGGGAAACGGTCATACTCAAATTGCTGGCGCCGCACATAGGACTCCTCAACAGACCGTCCTGCATAACGAAAGGGAAATGTTTAGCACACTGTTCTTGGACGGACATGCCTTGCAAGTGATGTACCCTGACACTCCAGCGGCAACACCATGGTGAGTTTCTATTTACTGAAATGAAGTATCCGTTTATGCCTTATATGTTTCTTACACTCTTGTTTGTCTTGCAGCCTTTATGGTTTGTCACTGCAGTAATGAAGCAGCAGCTCACAAGCCAAGGCCATTGTTTGGTTGTGCGTGGCCTGCTTGTTCATGAGCGGAAAAGTGTCCGTTTCTGTAATTCGCAGCACCATTAACATTTTGACCTAAATGGCTTCTGACATCTCAGTGATTATTTATTTGTTTTTGCTGTGGTGGTCAAAATACAAATGTCACGTAGTGAGAGGTAGTACAAGTACATTTCTGTCTCTATGGTGGTATGAGACTCAAATGGAAAGAAGCTGAAGCTTTGCAGTTGCTGTTATCGCCTATGAGGTAATTGGTTATATTCTTTTCAATTCAATTTGGCTCATTATTCCATTGATCCCTTCCTTATACCTCACGTACATTTGTTTTAGATGCCAAAACCCGTGAGTCCCAGGTCTTAACAACCTGGTCAGGTCACTATGGTATTTTGGAGCCATGTGGAAGGTGGTGACTGGGCTGCCTTATGGAGGGACCTTGAAAAGTCGACATCAGAAGAGTTGTTGATGATGATGAAGGTAGTGAGAAGTATCGAAGACCAGCTGTTGTTGGCGTTGAACCTCTTGATGTCTGAAGAAATCCTACCTGTAATATGCTGTGAGTTAGCACTTCAAATCCTTTGATATTTAAGGCTCACACTTATTTGTAAATACTGTTTATTTCATAGGTATTTCTTGTGCTTTTCAGAGAGACAATATGGAGCCAGCTTTTGCTTCGTAATGAACCATTTGAGAGGCTGCTCTGTTTGCTAATGAGTTCGTTTACATTCCTGGTTGGGTAACTTTCAATTCAAATTGCATTGAAATGCCAGCCCTTTTTTTAGAAGTCTGTGGAAGGTCTGATTATGACATGGAAGACCCTCTGAGTTCAAGATGTTGCTGACACCTCATGGTGTGCTTGGTAATAATTTTTTTTTTTGCCAGTTAATTTACAATTAATATAACTTGTGTATTAATTTTTGTCTAGTGCTAAAATTTTAACCATGGTTTTCATCTTCTTCCAGAGGATTTATCTAAATATCGAGCTTCAATACTGAGAAAACCAGTATTTGGATTTGATATCTATAGAAGCTAGATCAATGAAGTGGTGGTGATTTTTGAAACTGTGACAACATATTTTCTCGTTTGTGGCACAACCTCTCATCATTTTGTGAGTGATTTATTTGTGCTCATACCGTGGTATGAAGCTGAAATCGAAAGCGGCTGAAGTTTCTGTTGCTGATCCTCAAGAAGGTAATTGGATTTATTCTTTTGTGCTTCCTTTGGCCTATTTTTCAATTGTTTCCCGTTTTGTACCTCGCATATTTGTTGTTTCAGGTGCCAAAGCTCATTGAGTTCTACAAGACGTCCGGCTCAGCTATGACAGACGTGGAAGAAACGCAATGAAGCTCACCAAGTTGAAGGACTAAGCTACGTAGCACATGATCCTACCCAGCTTACCGTATCGCCTCGTTGAAGAGGTTCACAGCGGCATGTCCGAAGTCCCATCGGAGTCTCGTGGCCTCATGTATTTCCCTGTACATGCCGCTGGAAGAAGAAAGGACTCATCCTACACCGCACATACTCACTCTTCGTTCGCGTCCTGCGCAGCGATGACACACCTGCGCATCGCCTGTATGATGGCAGCGCTTGCATCATGCACATTGGCTTCCAGGTCGGCCCTGCAAGCAGAACGGACAGTGGGCCGGGGGCAGCCTCCGCCATGGCTAGCTGACCCCGCTTGACGTGGTTGTCAATGGCCGACTGCAGCGCCTCCTCCAGGTTGGGGGGTGCCTCCCCCGGGAGTGGAAGGTCGCTCAAGTTGGTTCCGTAGTACGCCCGAAGATACCTCGAAAAGTTGTTGTATTGAGCAACATGTAAGGAACGCATTGTGATCGAATTGTGGGCACGACCGCCGGATGTGGAAGGACCTGTGGCGGAACGTGTTCAAGGGCTCAGCGCAGAACTCGCACCGCATCTTCCCTGGTGTTGGCGCATAGCCAGGGAGATTCGCCGTGGGCATCCATTCGCCTTCAGCACCGGAGACGTCCACCTCGCAGGTGGCGATGAGCTCGTACACCTCTGTGAGAGACCCCCATCTCCACAACCTGGATGCCAGGGAAACGGTCATACTCAAATTGCTGGCGCCGCACATAGGACTCCTCAACAGACCGTCCTGCATAACGAAAGGGAAATGTTTAGCACACTGTTCTTGGACGGACATGCCTTGCAAGTGATGTACCCTGACACTCCAGCGGCAACACCATGGTGAGTTTCTATTTACTGAAATGAAGTATCCGTTTATGCCTTATATGTTTCTTACACTCTTGTTTGTCTTGCAGCCTTTATGGTTTGTCACTGCAGTAATGAAGCAGCAGCTCACAAGCCAAGGCCATTGTTTGGTTGTGCGTGGCCTGCTTGTTCATGAGCGGAAAAGTGTCCGTTTCTGTAATTCGCAGCACCATTAACATTTTGACCTAAATGGCTTCTGACATCTCAGTGATTATTTATTTGTTTTTGCTGTGGTGGTCAAAATACAAATGTCACGTAGTGAGAGGTAGTACAAGTACATTTCTGTCTCTATGGTGGTATGAGACTCAAATGGAAAGAAGCTGAAGCTTTGCAGTTGCTGTTATCGCCTATGAGGTAATTGGTTATATTCTTTTCAATTCAATTTGGCTCATTATTCCATTGATCCCTTCCTTATACCTCACGTACATTTGTTTTAGATGCCAAAACCCGTGAGTCCCAGGTCTTAACAACCTGGTCAGGTCACTATGGTATTTTGGAGCCATGTGGAAGGTGGTGACTGGGCTGCCTTATGGAGGGACCTTGAAAAGTCGACATCAGAAGAGTTGTTGATGATGATGAAGGTAGTGAGAAGTATCGAAGACCAGCTGTTGTTGGCGTTGAACCTCTTGATGTCTGAAGAAATCCTACCTGTAATATGCTGTGAGTTAGCACTTCAAATCCTTTGATATTTAAGGCTCACACTTATTTGTAAATACTGTTTATTTCATAGGTATTTCTTGTGCTTTTCAGAGAGACAATATGGAGCCAGCTTTTGCTTCGTAATGAACCATTTGAGAGGCTGCTCTGTTTGCTAATGAGTTCGTTTACATTCCTGGTTGGGTAACTTTCAATTCAAATTGCATTGAAATGCCAGCCGTTTTATTAGAAGTCTGTGGAAGGTCTGATTATGACATGGAAGACCCTCTGAGTTCAAGATGTTGCTGACACCTCATGGTGTGCTTGGTAATAAATTTTACTTTTTTTGCCAGTTAATTTTTCGGTTAATGTATTTCAATGATTATTTATTTTCTTGTGCTAAAATTTTAATCTTGGTTTTCATCCATTTTCAGAGGATGTATATGAATATGCTACTTAAAGCTGAGAGAACTGGTATTTGGATGTGATGTCCACGTAAGCTACATTAATGAAGTGGTGGTGATTTTTGTAACTGTGACAACATATTTTCTCGTTTGTGCTGGTTTACACCTTATCACTTTGGGAGGTTGCGAGCTCACTTCATTGTGATTATTTATTTGTCGAGCTAGCTTAGCAGAATTGATCAAAAGCAACGGAAGATCCTGTAAGTAATTAGTGAAATTTCATCTGCTTTGTTGCTAAGATTTTCTTTATGTCTGTACTTATCCTTTCCCTTCTTGTTTTCTTCAGCCGACAACAGCCCAGACCGTCATACACTAATTGAAGTTAAGGTTATTGATGGATTAGGACGGGAGGCTTTGCCATTTGAACCAAATGGCATACTCAGATCATAATGGTTAAATATGTAAGTGTGCTGTGCTCTATGTGCTTCTTGGGGTTTTTTTGCTTTGTTTCTCATTGTTCATCACATCCCCAGGTGCATTCATCGCATGAACTGTCATGCTTGTCAAGACAGATCAGAGACTTTGGCGAACTCTGTACTCCAGAGTTGGGTGTAGTGAAGTGAGAAGCAGTCATCCAAGAGTTGAGTCCTGGCTGCTTCAATCCAACCTGTGAAGAGAGTGGTGGATGCGTCTTGTTGACCAGCTTGTAAGCCATGTGCTTGACCCTCATTTGTTCTATTGTGAGTAAGAATATATCCCAGTACTGTAAATTCTGAGAGCGTGGCGGACAAGAGTTTCAAGTGTCCTTGCCAAAACTGCACATTTGTGCACTTGTTGACCAAGTTCTATATTATATGTTAATCTTCTGAATCAATTGCGTTATGAGCTTGCGCTTAGTTATTGTGTTTGGCAAGAGGTCCCTTCAATACTGGCTCTTGTTAATGATTGACAATGGCTTTTGAACTATTTTCCTAATTTCTGGAGCATTTGCTAACAATTGGATGTATTATACCTTGTAGGTAACTTGCCCAGAATTTCCTTTGGATCAGTCTTTACTTGAAAATTCCAAGTCAATTTTTGTTGCTTATTTGTTGTGTATTGTGAAGTGCACCACCATATTCAAACAGAGTCTCAAATTTATAGTTAATATTGACAGTTTGTCCTGTTGCCCTCTTGATCTGCTGATGTGTAGCAGAATGGCAGGTTCGTTTTGTCACAATTTTTCACTCATTGAGCATTAGAGTATGGAGAATTCACATTCCGTCCATTTTCCTTTCCCTCATTCGAAACCCTTAAGAGCAGTGCAGTATTCATATCTTGTTTCTTAGTGCCCATTCCAACAGTGTTCAAGCCTTTCTTCATTTCTCTCTTTCAAAGAAAAGCGCCTTGGTTGTTACAACCGTTCAAGTTAAGGATAGATGGAGATTTGTTGACTCGCTTGTCTTAAACTTAATGATAGTATCCGTGTGAAAGGGCGCCATTTCTCATGGATAC